AGGTTTCCCATGAACAGGTTTTCACACCTAAAATTGTAAATTGTTACAAAAATTTACATTTACTCAGTCAAAATAAAACTGAATATTCAGTGCTTTTCTCTCAGCTTTCAGAATAGCAATCACTTCTACATTATTCAATCATTTTTTCATAAGATTTTCATTTTTTCATACTAAATAGCTGCTATTTGTGCTGGGGTTTTTGTTTTGGTTGGGGTTGGGTTTTGTTTGTTGGTTGTTTTGGGGTTGTTTTTTTTTTTAAAGGGAGACCACTAACCTCATTTTTAAAACCTCAGGGCATATAGAATGCAGTCTATCTCTAAATAAGTTTCTCAACGGCTAGGCTGCCTCACCACTAACAATCTGAACGTTACTTCTATTTCAACAGCGCCTTACCTAGCTTTAGGACACAATCTTATGCTTATGTCCAATAAAGAGCATTTTCTATTGGACATTTCCCCCACAGACACGAGCCAACAATAAAGATGCTGACAGAATTCTCACGCATTAATTTACTTTTTTTTTGTTAGCCTTTTCTGAAAAGTCATTTTTTCTGAAGCCTGTCCAATGTCAGCATCGTTGTAAAACAAGCACCGGCATCAGAAATCACTTCATTGTTCCAACATCATCACACCACCGTAGCTTCCTTTCCCCCAGCTCCGCTTCCCTCTTGTCTGACAACCCGTTCACTAGCTGGTTTTAACATAGTAATCACTCCTAAACAGTTACTCACTCATTGTACCCTCCCATCCTGGAGTCTCTGGGGTTTTGTTGGTTTTTTGTTTGTTTGTTTTTAAATTCTTTTCCTTGATATTTGTAAGCGTAACTTACTTTTTTAGCTTCTCAAATACGAAAGTTTGGATTTTTATGTACAGATACATTTTTAAAGGGTATGGCAATAATGAATCCATACTGTCGTTATGCTATTTCTGTACCATTTCTAAAATTGAGCAACAATTATTTTATATGATCTCCCAGATAACTGATACAGAGCAGCACGTCAGGAAGATGCCACAATTACACCAAGATGTCTGGTCACAATGATTTCAAATTGCATCAGCGCTAAAAAGCAGCCTTGGTTTTGGTTAACAACTCAAAGCTAACACACATGAAACTCAAGATCTGTGATGAATATTCATTTTTCATAACAAAGCAGTAGGAAACAAGAGGCTTTTACCACACTTACTTAACACCTTCTGCATTGCCCAAATAGAAGATAATACTGAATAACAGGTTCTACAGAAACACTCCAGACAAGAACAGCTTAGGCTGTTAGCATTGGTTTTGTAACGAAGGCAGCATGTTGTCGTCATTTACGCTAACAATACTACTATGAATATTTTAATTAACTTTTTAGAAGTACTTATGAGGTGTAGAAGCACAAGTCCCAGTGACCCGAAAGGGACCTCTGTTTTACAGATCGCTTGGGGTTTTTTTTTCCATCTCCAAGTCCCTCCCATACACCTCTTAACATTTTAAGATTCAATTCTTTTAAACCTCATTCATGTTAAGCAGGGATTGAAATTCTGCAACATAAAAAAAAGGTATGAGCTTTGGTCTCCAATAATTAGGATGCTTTGCATGATTATATTTAAAGGACTTTTGTAAGCTGATCGATGTAAACATTCTATGCAATAGCATTGATAATGTTTTATCACCAATGTACGTGGGCTTTCTGATCAATTTACTACAACTCTGGTGAAAGCAAAATAATAAAAATAGAAAAAAAGTTTGTAATTTTTAAACGGTATGCCTCCATGATTTAGGTAAAGAAATTTAGATGCGCATCATTTCTTCTTCAGATCACATTTAGTTTACTCTTTGCTATGACACTTCTTAACAAGAAAACAAAAAACTTATTGGTATTGAATGGATCTGAAAAAGAATGATTAAATATTCTACTGCATGGCTGAGCCATATCCACAACTAAACAATGTACTTGGAAGTGTTTTATGATAAACTGAAAAGCAGTGTTTTCATCTCAAAGTATTATGCTTTCAAATGTTTTTCAGAGAAAGGTTTTCAGAAATACCTGCTTGGCAAACAGTGCATAATACCTATGAATACATAACAGTAGGGCCGCATGTTTAGTATGTTAAGCAAGAAATAGGACATACAAAGACATTTCTTTATATTTGGATAAAATACGGAGCTATATTCTACACGCAACAGAACACAGCTATAAAGACCTAATAAACCTGCATGTTCACTTAGTGCAAAAATCTTTAATTGTTGAATGTCATTTTAATAGCTCGTGTGTATTTTCACATGAAAAACAACTTATTATTGCACTTAGAAAGTATCTTTTAAAGCTGTCTTGTTTTTAAGAATAAAAAAAGAACCTAACAGAATAATTGGAAATTTAGCCTAATTCACAATACTGCTCCAAAGTATTACTGTCAGTACAATTTCAAAACGTAATCAGCTATTCTGAGGTCTAGCTGAAAAAAAAATATACATAGATACATCATAGTATTACCTTCACCAAATAAAAAAAAATCTATATCATTCAGCAGCTTTATTTCTGAATGTGCTTGTACTCAGAGCTTAGTTTGCTAAAGCTGTGCCCATCAAAAATGTCATCCTTGATGCTCTTTCTTTGGGCTTCTGTGAAAAGGTGAATGCAGAAACAGGTGAGTGTTTAAGCAAACTGAGCAGGCTGGGGTATTTAGAGAAAATAAAACCAATATAATTTAGCTTTCTAATGCAAAATGATTTCAGCAAGAGTTAAGGTAATCAAAAATATGCATGTTCACAATGTAGAGTTATAAAAGACTGTAAAACAGCATGAGAAACTTCAAAAAACAAATCAGTCACAAGAGCTACTACGTTTTCCAGTATAAACACCCACGGGTGTGCCTGCATTGGATGGACCATAGAATTTATTGAAGAATCCTGGGTCAGTGAACCACAAACAGCTTTCACACTTCCAGAAATAGGTTCTGACGAATTAGAAAAATACTCTCTTCACACAGAATGACTAAGCACATACACACTAATGCTACAAAACTTCAAATACCTTGAAATTGTGGCTTGAAATCAAACTCAATGACTCATCAAAAAAGTTCAATGGTATAAAAGATTCTCATAGCAGTTTTGCAATTTGAGCGATAGTTCAAGACTTGTCCAGTATCACACAGTATCTTCAGCCTTCAGCTTCGGTAGAAGGAGGTTGGGCTGGTAGAGGAAAAGAAAGCATCAACAACCAGATTCCATTTCTTTGACTGGCTTTTCTGTAGCGTCCAGCACCAAAGGGCTTTCATTTTCCAGCATTTTCTCAGTGGTTTCTCCATCAACAGGTTTTGCTCTTTCTTTTAACTTTTGCCGTTCGTGGACCCAGGGGATGAAACATAAAATAGCTCCACCAATAAGGGGAGGGACTCCGGCCAGGTAGAACGCTACATCATAGGTGCCGAGGTGATCATGCAGCAAACCTGGAAAGACAGAAAATTACAAATGATAAATAATGGGACATCTACAAAAAAAAGTGTCCGTCCTTCAGATTCAGAAACTTGAGCGCTGACACAAATTGTTGTAACCCCGAATCTGACTACCTGATGGCCAAGTATAGGTATAAATAGGTAGAAAGGTGTTCCGGAGTTGATTTAAAGACTCCACGTAACAAAGAACTCAGTATGTCACCACTGAACGGCTTAATTACCACCCATCATTAAAAACACATACCATATTTCTTATTCGAAAGTTGCTCATTTCAGCTTCTCCAGCACTTGAATCTTGCAATGGTTTGGAGAAATTCTCCCACTTTTGGCAACAGTTGCCTTTGATCAAGGTGCCTCTTAATCTTATTCTAGGTATACTACATATATTGCATTCCTGGTAGCCTCTTATTAAAAACTGTGTTTTCCAACAATTCACTCTATTTGCTCTCTCAGAACTCCTCCCATTAGTCGAATTCTATTTAAGCACTGATAGCTGTGATAGCGTATCTAGATCAGGAAGCGCCTAGTCTATGCTGTTCTAGCTTTAAACTTTAGTTCTTTATAATGCTGCATAGTTCAGTTACATCTTACTAAGTACCCTTCAGTTGCACTCACAAGACACCTTAGGGTAAATTAGGATTGAGAGTCATCAGTGGTAAGGATTATAACTTAAGCTACTTCCACCTCCCAAAGAACTTCCAGTTTTCACGTTCAAAGCCTTTGTCAGTCTCCCAAAGGCTGAAGAAAGCCAGGGTTCCTACTTAGAAGCAGCAATTAAAGTGAGTGGAGCTTTTATCCTCACAATTGTTTTTGCATGAACAAATTTTGGAGCCCAATTAATTTTCAGATTCTAATTTGGAGTCCTTCTGTAACACAAGCAACACGTAGGCTGTCACCTCAACAGCATGGAAAATGTCAGGTTCTCAATCGAACTGGAAATCTGTCTGTCTTTTGAGGAACGTTTTACATCTGCATAACTTAATAAAAAGACTGAAGCAAACTTTAAAGCGTCCAGTAAATTAATAACCCATGAGCAGCAGTTAAATTCACCATATATTCTGGAGCATGTACCGAGAAAAATTCCAGTGTAACTGCACCACATCTGATGGAGGAAAGGAAAATATGGCCAAAAAGTCATGCAACCATAGAAGCATAGTTTACAGCTACAGACCACATCTGTACTTACCTGCAATGGGCGGACCAACTGTCATAGGTACTGACATGAATCCTAGTAGGAATCCTATGGCCTGGGAGACATCCTGAGCCCCAACAAGCTCAAAGGCAATAGGAGCCATAATGCAAATGAAGCACCCATCGAAGAGGCCCATGAAGAGACAGACAGCGATGAGACCTCCAAAGACGTGGCACAGTGGAATCATCATAGACATCAGGCCAATAAAAAAGAATGAGGCCACCTAAACATGAACAAGGGGGG